GTACTGTAGCTATGGGATAATAAAGAGTATACATGAATTTGATACGATTTTATGAACATTGTTCTATTGTGTTATAGATAACGGCAAGGCAGATCAAAATCAATAATCCAGAAATAGAAGTGGATAACCAGAATTAGAAAATAATTCTATATAAAGATTAGTACAATGGCAATCAAGATCAGCAATTAAACGGTGACTATGAGAAATCAATTAGATATAGCACATTAAAAGTTAGACTAACAATATCATGCGACACAAAATACAGGAGCAAGTGTTACATCAGATGTGAAGTTGTAATTTGCGAAGTTTCAATATGTATTCACACCTTTGCTTTGCCATATGCATATATCCAATCAAATGTAAGATTTTGCGTACGCACGCCATTTAATTTGCCATATAACCATACACTATGTGAAATTTTCAATATCACTCCATTCCTGGTATTGCAGAATTATGATCATTAAGAATCTTAATGATCATAAATTTAGCAATTGCTGAATTGTGATCGTTAAGAATCTTAATGATCATAATTTAGCAATTGCTGAATTGTGATCGTTAGGAATCTTAACGATCATAATTTAGCAATTGCTAAATTATGATCGTTAAGATTCTTAACGATCATAATTTTGCTAATTGTAATCATTAAGATTCTTAACGATCATAATTAGTTTATTGCTAGCTAGATGTAGATTGTTGTCAAAGTGGTGGTCAGCAAGTTCTACTAAAGATGTTATATAATAGAAATTATTAAATTTAATAGGCGTATATAAATTTATTGGACGAATAAATACTTTATAAAATTATAAAATTTTAAAATTTTAAATTTGCAAATATTAGCAAATTATAATCAATTTAAAACGCATTATTAATAAATTAGCAATTTTAAAACACCACTTTCAAAATAAGATACTTCAAAAATTTTTGGTCTAAAAGTAAAAAGACAGATAGTAAAAATCAATTTTTTTTGTATAAAAAGAATACTAATTAAATTGTAAGATACAAATATTAACTTATAGGTGAAAACTATCCTTTTTCGCAAAACATAGATCATAATAAATTTTATCATTACCTGAAAGTTTTTTGACATTATACTTGTGTTTTAAATGGTTCTTGGGACTTCTACATTGGGGTGTGCGATAATTTGATACCTATACTAATTGATCATAATAAATTTTATTATTATCTGAAAAATTTTTAACATTATACTTGTGTTTTAAAATGGTTCTTGGGACTTGTGTTATTGGGGTGTGCGATAATTTGATACCTATACTAATTGATTATATAAAATTTAATATAGTAGAATAATAATAAATCAAAATACTTTTATAGAATTTTTTAATAGTAGCGAAAGTTTTTTCAATAGCAGTTTGTAGCAAATACAAGACAATAATACAATTTAATACACTGCAATAGTTAAAACTAATTATTGCTATGTTTTACATAATCTATTATCATATTAATATCATCCGTAGTATAGTACAAAATAGAATCTGCACTATAATTTATACATTGAATCTTATCTACCCAATTTTGCTAAATAATTTAAAAATAACCCACGCTTTATACGTTCTTTGTCACAAGTTCTCCTGTGTAATACCTGAAATTAATGGAAATATTTCATCATATAATTCAGTTCGTACAGCATTATCTTCATAACCATCTACAATAAGTTGACCTACTCTATCTTCAAATACTTCAGCATAATTATACCAATTTCAAATTTCCTTTTGCTTAATTCGTTGAAGTTTCTTTTCACTACGATAAGCCGTTTTGAATAATTAACCTAATTTTTTTTCTATAAAATCTTCAGCACTCTCATTTACAATATTTACAGACACATCATATCATCAGATGAGGTTGCTGTGGTTATTTTTTGAATGAATTTGGCAATTGGTATCTTTTTATTGGAATTTTTAGCAGATACTGGATATTTTGGCAACTGTTTTGAAGATCCTTGACTCTAAAAAAAAAATTTTATTAACGTTAATAAATATAATTTTTTTAGATCCACCTTACTTTGACAATCATTTTACCAACAACTCACTTAGCCGACATCACACCAAGTAACAATTTACTAATAATATATATCTGCAGCTAATAAAATGCTAATCCTAACCCTATGTGATGTCGGCTAAGTGAATTTTTGGTTAATGATTGTTGGTAAAGCAAGCAGTATCATAAATATTTTACCTTTTGTGGTTCAGATTCCAAAGAGACTAAATTAATCTCTTCTTGAGATTTAGATTCCATAGAGACTAAATTAATCTCTTCTTGAGATTGTTCCACAGATTCAAAAGAGGGAGATTGTTTTGAAGAGGGAGAATTTGTTGAAGATGCCGAAATTGTTTCTTCACTATCAGTAAGTTGGAAGTCTTGTTCATCAATTTTTTTATCATATGCTTTTTGGGATCTTTTTGCTTGGAAATTTCTTGAATTAATGTTTGATTATAATAAAATTTATTTAGTATCTTTTATAAGTTTAACCATATATAGTATAATTAATTAAATAAAATTTTCTTACTTTTGGTGTTTTGATATATTTCTTTTATTTCTTTTTGGAGCTAATTTGCGAATTTCTTCGTTAGATCCTTCTAATTCTAAAGAGCCTATAAATTATAATAATTTAAAGATTTTTTGAGTTAAATTATAATAATATTTGTTGGTTTCTTCTATTTATGAGCACTTAAAATTATTTTTTTAAGTAATAATATAATTACTTGCAGTATCTTGTGATAACTTCATTAACGCTCTTGCAGCCAATTCTACATTTTCATCTGTACTGATTTCTTCATCAATTTCTTCATTATTTTTACAGGGATACTCATCTTTACTAAGCATGCACAACCAATGAGAAAGATGTTTACACGTCTAAATAATAATAGGTTCGTATAGATCAGATGAAATTTCCTTATTGCAGACAATACAAAAATTTTGTGCTTGATATTTACTAGAAATTTGTTCGGGCTTATCATAAAAATATAATTTGCACGCAAAATTTTTTAAATCTTCCATTATACAATAATAATTGAAAAAAAATTTAAAACATAAGCAAAATACAAGTATTATATATAAATTACAGCTTATAAAAAAAACTAATTGAATGACATTTAGCTAAATAAGTAACAACACGAATATGAAAATTATCGAATGATATATTATTAAATAAGATACGATCTATATATATGATTAAACTAATGAATGATGTATATTGAAAAACTATTGAATGACATATTATTAATAAGTTATGAACAATATACATGATTAAACTAATAAATAACATATAGTTAAATAAACTATCAAATGACATATTATTAATAAGTTACGAACAATATACATGATTAGACTAATAAATGACATATAGTTAAATAAACTATCGAATAACATATAATTAAATAAGTTACGAATGATGTATATGATATAGACTAATAAATGATATATAATTAATAAGTTACGAACAATATATATGATTAGACTAATAAATGACATATAGTTAAATAAACTATCGAATGACATATAATTAAATAAGTTACGAATGATGTATATGATATAGTTAAAATACAACATAAGTATACATTATTAGACAGATGACAAAAAATAACAGTTAATTGTTTTTTTTGTTAGAATTAATGTCACTCCATGTGCTGCTACACAGCACATGAGTGAAATTAACTTCAATAAAAAAAAACAATTAACTGTTATTTGTCGTATGTATGTTCAATAATGTTGTTATTGGATAGTTAATATGACAATGTGAAGTTTTTTCTGTGATATTTTGCAAAACTGATTATGTAATTTCATATAAAAAATATCATGACAAAAAATTCACATGATCATATGAAATGTTAAATAACTAAATTTATTGGGCAGAAAATTATAGTAAGCTACCTGATAAATCTGTTATTAGGCAGTGCCTGTTAGCATAGTAGGCTTTCATTGTGATTGGCCAGTTCTTGTAGATCATCCCGTGATATAAAATTTAACTAAACTGTCATAAACAAAAGAACTGATATATATAAAAATAACTACATCTATATCGAAATTAATGCCAGAAAAGTCTTTACTATAAAATCTTGCTATAAAACTACAATCTTGTCACAAACAAACCAAAATTTTATTAAAAAATTAGTCCTAACATAGTCCTAACTTATTACAAATCAAAAATGAAAAAAAATGAACCAAAAACAATCAAAAACAAATCAAAAATAAAAAGTACAAAAATAAATGTTTGTACCTATTCTAGAATACTAATAGCTAATAAACAATAATCAAAACAACTTTTAGTGTTCACTTTAATATCAACTGATTTTTAATTTTATTTAATAATCGTTATAACAGTTATGATACCACTACTTCGCTCAAACTCTTCTCACGAAATCTATAAACCTATGGCTTTCAACTTTATATTCTTAGCCTATATATTATAATCAGGTTTCTTATTAGTTGGGATTATGAAGAATAAGTTTTCACAAAATACTTAAAAGATAGCTTAAATTGCCAGGTTTAATTGATTTATTGAATCTATAAATTAAACTTATTCGTTCAAACATACCTCTTATCTAACTTCTGAATTAATTCACAGATTACCGAATTACTTTGACAGTTTATAAAATAAGACATGAACTTTCTAATTTTTTTTGTCTTACCCCTAGGAATTTATATTCATGGCTAGGAATTTAATCTTGTGATGGAAAATCATTACTTTAATAAGACCATTATGATAAAATGTTTTTCAAAAATTAGCCAATTATAATAAAGCCTGCTATGCTGTGCCTGCCTGATAACTATTTAATATTACAACACTCTTATGAATAATTAAACTTATTTGATATGAATATATATACGATTTATTTTATTTTTAAATTAACATATGATTTTAAATTTATATAATTAGTATGATTTATAGATTTTAAATTAATAACACATATATAAAAATTATTGAATGATATATAATTAAATTTACTCTTAATCTAATATAACTTCAAGCAAGTTCTAGATTTATTTTTTTAAATTAAACAATATTAGTAATAGAAAAATTATAGAATACTATGAATTATTTAAATATAATCATAGGTTAACATTTTTGCAAAACTCTACAAGTACACATAAATTTTAAAGTTAAATATTTGAGATTCTTCATACCTTTATAGTCATTAAAATGGAATTATTAAAGACTAAAGATTAATTAGCAATGAATTGTTAAGAATCTTGATCATAATTCTGCAATTGTTGAATTATAATCATTAAAATACTTAATGACCATAATTCAGCAATTGCTAAATTATGATCATTAAGAATCTTAACGATTATAATTCTGTAATTGCCAAATTATGATCATTAAGAATCTTAATGATTATAATTTTGCAATTGCTGAATCATGACAGTTAAGAATCTTAACAATCATAATTTAGCAATTGCTGAATTATGATCATTAAGAATCTTAACGATTATAATTTAGCAATTACAGAATTATGATCGTTGAGAATCTTAACAATTACAATTTAGCAATTGCTAAATTATGAACATTAAGAATCTTAACAATAATAATTAATTCAGCAATTGCTGAATTATGATCATTAAGATTCTTAACGATTATAATTTAGCATTACTAAATTAAGATTGTTAAGATTCTTAATCATAATTTAGCAATTGCTAAATCATGACTATTAAGAATCTTAATGATCATAATTTAGCAATTGCAGAATTATAATTGTTAAGATTCTTAATAGTCATGATTTAGCATTTGCAGAATTATGTTTGTTAAGATTCTTAATGATCATAATTCAGCAATTGCAAAATTATGATTGTTAAGATTCTTAAAAAGCATAATTTGGCAATTGCTAAATTATAATCGTTAAGATTCTTAACGGGCATAATTCAGCAATTACTAAAAGATTCTTAACGATCATAATTTAATTGCTGAATTATGGTCATTAAGATTCTTAATGATTATCATAATTCAGCAATTGCTAAATTATGATTGTTAAGTTTCTTAATAATTATAATTTAGCAATTGCAGAATTATGATCATTAAGATTCTTAATGATTATAATTTAGCAATTGCTGAATTATGACCATTAAGAATCTTAACAATTATAATTCAGCAATTGCTAAATTATGATCATTAAGAATCTTGATAATCATAATTTTGCAATTGCTAAATTATGATCATTAAGATTCTTAGGTCATGATTCAGCAGTTGCTAAATTATGATTGTTAAATATCTTTAAATATTAATATATCTCGAATTATTCTGGGTTCCTAGCAATCAAATAAGTCATAAAACTTTACTACTTTTTATATTAGTTAAATTATATAATTTATTTATTATTAAATTAATTGTAATATTGCAAATAGCAAGAATACTTAAAGTGCTAATAGATTTAATATTTTTTGAAATTATCATATATATATTATTATTATTATTAGCTTTATTATATGATATGTTATATTATATATATATTTTTAATTAGAAAATTACTACAAATCACTACTAGTGATTATCACCGGTAATTTACGATATATAATTAGGTGTAATGTATAAACTTTTTAAACAAAAGTTTATTTGTTTTGATATTAGGGTAAGGGTAATGGTTTGATAATAAAGATAAACAAAACCTATAGTAAAATTTTGCAAAAAATTTTTTTTGTTAGAGCTCGAAAGGTGGTTTCATAAACAAAATTTTGAGATATGATCGATTTTTTAAAAAATTCTTTGTTTTTGTTACACAAAACTGATCTGCACGTTACACCTGATCTTGCAAAATGATTGGCTAATTATGCACTGGTGATGATCACCAGTGGTGATAAATAGCAAACTTCTTTTAATTAAATACTTATATATATTTATCTTTAATTATATATACTTATATCTAAAATATTTGATTATCTGCAATTTTTGCCAATAAAATTTTGATTTAAGGTAACAACTTTTTTTAGCCAATTAAATTTACTTGAAAGATCTGCAACCAATTAGATAGATTTCTGATTATGCTATTTATAACCAAACACGTAAAGTATTTGATTATCTGCAATTTTGGTCAATAAAATTATGATTTACAGGTAACAACTTTTATGAGCCAATTAAAGATCAGCAACCAATTAGTGATTATGCTATTTAATAAATAAACGCGTAAAGAATTTAGTTTTTTTTTTAAAACCAAAATATTTGTTTATTTGCTTATCCTGAATTAAATTTTAGATTATTGCTACTATGACTACTTCTTTTACTTCTTCAAACACTACTACTCAAGTTGATCCATTTACTCAACTTGATGTATTAACACTTCTTGACTTATTAAAAAAGTCTCAAGAATGATATGAGATTGCAGAAAACAAAATTATAGAATTACAAGAAAAATTAAATGAACAAGAAAAATTAAATGAGCAATCTTCATTGATTAATAGTAATATTGTATCTTTGGTTTTGCGGCCTACACAAGATAATATAGAAGGATTTTCTATTTCAAAAATTCCACTTGCAAAAGATTTAAACTTAATAACAAGGCTATTCGTGAAGTTAAAAAGACTTTTGGCTTACTTTTGGATAATCATAATATACCAAAAAATTAGACTATATCTAAAATTGATCCTGTAATGATAAAAAAATGGCTTGCAATTGTAAATATTTATTTATATTAATATATATTATATTTATACTAAATATATATAATATTTTTTGTAGTTACATTCTCAATATCAGAAATATTTTGGAGACAATATGTGGGCATATAAAGAAATTATGAAACAAGTTATGCAAGATCGTAGTAAATATAGATTTATTTATTATATTTTTAGTAATTATTATATTTTGGCTAATTATTTAAATTTATAGCATATTATTATAAATATACTGGTTTATCAGCTAAAAGGAAAAAAAAACCCACCCAAAATTTTACTACAATTAAAAAAAAAAAAGAGTTAATAAATTCTCAACACAAATTTGATAAGCAAAAAATTAATATAAGCGGTCAAAATAAATTTTAATTCTTATTAATTTTAAACAATAATTTATATAGAATTCTATTATTAGACAAGGTCAATATGGATATGGATATTGAGGATGATTATAGTGATACTCGAGGAAATTATGAAAATACTAGTCATATTTTAAATAATAGTATAGTACTTTTATTTTATTTTTTATTGTTTTGGTATTAAGGTAACCCTTTGGTCAAGTACTTTTATTATTGTATGAACTATTTTTACAACTAGATGATCTACATCCGTCGTACATATATTTCTATATACATAATCTCACTACAATACCATTTT